AAAAAAAAAAAAAAGTCAGAAGGTGTAAAATATTCACAGTTTTGGGCACTGAAAGTGGGATTACAGCACATTAGAAAACAAAAAAAAAATGGAAGGACCACTTTGTGATTGGTTTTGGTCTTCCTATCAGGGAAAAAGAAAATATTCAGCCCTACCTCCACCCACCCTAAAGTGATGTAATGATTGCTTAAAAACAAAAAAACAAACCAAACTCACTGCCACCAAGTCAATTCCGACTCATAACGACCCCCTTTGGGTTTCCAAGGTGGTAAATCTTAACAGAAGTAGATTGCCCAGTCTTCCTTCCACAGAGTGGCAGGTGGGTTTGAACTGCCAAACTTCAGGTTTGCAGTCAAATTCCTTAGGCACTGCCCACCAGAGCTGCTTAATGATTGCTTACCTACATGAGTTCAGTAAATCAGCTGATGCTTTCTAGGACAGGCTGATCTTCACCATATATACGAGGCCTTTGGAACATAAGTAGCTCTCATACAAGTAGAGACTAAGGGATAGGATATTCCAGAGCATATCTCAATACCAGAATTAGTGTAATCAAGATTTGAAAATGATGTTAAGGGTCTTGGTAAGGGCCAGCTTTAGTAGACACTTACGTTGACTCCTAAATCTCAAAACTTTATCCTCAATCCAATGGAGAATCATATTGTGTTCTTCAATTACCTTGTAGAAATGTGCATGGGTGTGTGTGTGTGTGTGTGTGTGTGTGTGTCACTGTTCATCTACTATGTACATGATGTAAAGGGGTGTTTTTGATTAAGCCCAAAGCTGTTCAAAATGTCAGGATTCTTTTTAAGTCCCTTCTGATACATTTTCAAGAAAGATGTCATTGTATTTTTTATTGACTCAGAAATAACTGAAAAGCCAACTTTTGCCCTTCAAAAAAATAACTAATGCCCAGAACAGGATGTTGGCAAAAAAAGACAGCTATTGGCATGGGTTTCTGGGTTACTTTGTATTTTATTTCAGGTCTTTGTGGTTCTGTCATTATCAGGTTGCACTTTGTGTCTAAGAACTTGTAGACTGATTAAGCCATACTGGTTTATCTTTTAATCTAATATCTAACTAATGAAAATAGCATTTTATAGTGTCTTCTGACATGTGATGTTGTTGTTGTTGTTGTTGTT